CCCAACGAGGAATAATGAAACATTCCCAACGAGGAATAATGAAACAACTCAATGTTGAAGAGATATTTTTTGATGTGACAAATAATTAAGTTTCGTTTTAACCACACGTGAGAATCGGTAAATCTCATAGATAGAAATTATAAATTTGAATTAGATTTTAAAATATTGTTTCGATTAAAATTTCAATAGGKGATTAGGACGAATCCTCCTTTTGGAGTGGAACAAAATAATGTTGGTTATGTTGGGTTGGTTTTCTATTATTTCACATTAATTATATATGTGTCTATCAACTGRTTGAGACATATATTTCGAATCAAAAGGTCGTATATTCAAACTCTCAATCCACATGTTGTACTAGAAAATATTTATATTTATATAGATGTCTAGTAAATTTTGTTAAATTACAGGGATGGTAATAGAAATTGAATAAAAGAAAATTTAAATTAAAGTTGAAGCATAAATATTAAAAGAATAATTTAACCAATTTCAATAGGAAGGCTATATTATTTAGTATTACAATTTAAACATGGTTAGAGATGAAAAAAAATTCTATATATGGAGGTTACTAATAACTTAATTAATTATTTAAACCATGCTCAAATTGATAATAGAAAAACGATGGTTAAAAAGTACATTTGGTCCCTATTCTTTCGTGAAAGTAATGATTTAGTCCATGAACTCTAGTTTCTAACAATTTAGTCCATTATTTTTTTTTGAACTTTGGTATATAACAATTTAACCAAAAGAGATTTATGATATGATATTATCCATTTTGGGCATTAGTTTTCGTGACTTTACTTTTGGTTTTACCAAAAAGCCTTATACAAATGAAGGTAATATTCTCCACTTATATACAATGAATCTTTCTTTTTTCTAGCTTAACGTGAGATTTTGTTTGCACTTCTAACAAGTTTTAAGAACTTTAAATAGGGGTTTAGTAAATATATCAATCCATTACTTAGGTACAAATTAAGTGCCACGAGATCATTATTCCAATAAAAGTATAAAGACTTAAAAAGTTTGAATAGTTAAATATATAATTAAAAAATCTAGCAAAATTATCAAAACACACTTGTAATTTAGTACGGAGTGTAATAATATATATATATATATATATATATATGTTATAAAGTTGTTACAGTTGATCCTATACCTTGTCTGATTGAAAAGAATTTTTTTTCCGAGTTCAACCACAGGGTGGAGATTCAAATATTTAACATGTAGTACAAATGTACAATCTTTTAACAAGTTGAATATATCTCTATCGATGTACTAACAAAATTAATTAAACTCTATTGAAGTTGAAAAAAGAAATAGAAATGGAAGGGATTCAAACTTAGAGATATAAATAATCATGACTCATGTTAGAAAATTATCATTTATCATATGATTCTCTTTCTTTGGGGTGGTTTAAACAACACACAAAACGAACATTTTCTTTTTAATAATTAATCGATTAAAGCACTTTTTTAAAAATCAAAGAAAATCAGCCACAAAATCTCCACTAAAACCAACAGTAATTGTACCTGTTAAAAAAGCAAAGCATAAAAAAAAATAAACAACTAATTTATAGTAATTTATTAATTCAAAATTCTTTTTGAGAATTTCTAAGCATTGACTACTTATTTTAGTGGAAGATATGCATGTTTGGAAATTGGAACCATAGATTATATTATTATTATTTTCCCAATGTCTTGATGATATGCATTGCATTTGAATCCAATAATTTTAGTGCTAAGTGTGAGATGATGATGTCATTCCATATCACCGACGTATCAAATGATAATTAATTAAATGCATGAACTCAATGATATTTTTCTTAAAAAAATAAAAAATAAAAACTATATATATATATGATATATATAATATATATATACGGCGAACCTCAATATAATTGAGTAGTTAAACATTTTGTTTTCTTTTCTATAGATTAGAGGTTTTAGTCTCTCATCCTCAAATTTGTTGTGGAAAAAAAAAGATTATTTTTACGAAAAAATTTATGGTACTATGAGAATACCGACTCCCTTAATATTTTACTTTTCAAATTCATGCCGTAGAATGTTGAACATAAAATTTCTTGCTTTGATTTAATCTCAAATCATTATTAACCAAAAAATTTAAAAGGATAAAATTATGATATATTTAATTTTTCTTATGAATGTGCACCGAGATTAAGCGGAGTGTTCATTTTGATACCTCTGTACAATAGAAAATTTATAGTATTATGGCAGTATGGAAAATATTATGTACTCCAATTCATTAATTTGATAAATAATAACATTTAAAAATAATAATGATATATAACATAAATGAAATCAAATAATACACCATTTAAGGATGTCACCCCAAAATTTTCATTTATGACGAATAATTTCGTCTCAAAAATTAAGAATCGACCATAAAGAGAAAAAAAGACCATAGTTCTTTTTTTTTTTCGAACGAAGTTCTCCATCGTCGCGGTTAAAACGAGTGTAACTTAACAGTAATTAATATATATCTTCAACCAAAAAGTTGTAAGTTCGATTCTCCATCTCCACTATTATACTAAAAAAATTTCTCTTTCATCATCGTSAAAAAGTTGGTGTGCCATAACTTTTGTTGCTTTAATTTTTTTAATGAAATTAATTGTGAAAAGATAATTTTTGAAAAAAAAATTGTGAAAATATGATGAAATTTGGTGAGCTACTCAAGGATGAAATTTGGTTATGAATTAATATATGATGGGGTGAAGTGCAATAAAGTAATGGGGGTTGAGGTCTTCGGAATCTTCATAGTTTCGTATTTAATGGAAAAATACATAATTAATTTATAATCCCTATGCATTTTTTTAACCTTTAACTCTAGAAAAATTACAATGGGTAGCAAAACTCTTCTATATTTTTCAAAATATGTCACCCGTTTTTTAAATTTTCAAATATAATAAAAATTTTCACATATATCAGCAATATATCAGATGCTCTTATAAAAAATATATCAATAATATATCACGCTCATATCAGTAGTATAACCGATGTAAATCATATACATATTGTACAGACACTTATATCAGTAGTATATCAGATGTATACCATATACATATTGTAGTAAGTATATCTGACACTCATATCAGTAGTATATCAGAGATATATTATATATATATCAGTGGTCGAATATATTACAGATGTATATCATTTGGATAAAATTGGACCTCCATTTTTTTTCAAAGTACTATATTTGAAAAAATTAAATGTGATTGCTATTTTATTAAATATTTTTACCATATTTACAACCGTGGCTTGATTATATTCTAACTTTTGTCCAAAGTAACAGCTATATTTAGGAAGTATTCTAATAGGGGGACCAATTAAAAACATCAACTCTATCTTATTAAACAACACCAACTTGGATTTCCTCTCTCTCTTATTGGATACTTTTATTTTATTTTTTTAACTGTCAAAATCTACCTTTGAATTTTAATGTTTATTTGGTTTACTCCCAAAACTTTAGTATTTTTTGGTTGAACTTATAAATTACATATAAATTCTTACGGTGTATTGTTCATAAATAATTTAATTGAAATATGAGGTAATATGGTATGTTAGGTATATTTAGGTATGTTTGCAAAAATTTTGTAAATTTTAAAAGTGATTGTACAACTTCTACAGTTCATAAATGTTTTTTACTATTTTTCCTTAAAATGAATCGTTAGTACAAAAATGATAATCGTCTTTAATTAAAAAAAATAAATAATGAATGAAAAATTGATGGTCAAACCTAAAAAAAAATATAATATTTTTATGTAAAAACTAGAAAACAACAAATTTTGAAAATTTAGAGACTAAAACATAAAATATTAAAATATTAAATTTACAAATAAGTATAAAAGTTTAGAAAAGTAAAATAATAAGATCTAAATTAACTGCATTTGTAATTCTAAATTATTAATTTTTTTTATTTCTGAAAAGAAAAGGGTTGAATTCTCTCATACATTGGATTTAGACCTCTTTCTTTTTTCATTATAATGCATTCCCTACATACGCTCTTACAAAACATATCAAATCATAGAAAAATGAATATAAACATTGTATTTAATATTAATTTAATAAAGAACAAATATTTAACATCAAAATTTATAGTTAGAATTAAGGTATTAAATTTTCGATACATGTAGAAATTTCCATAGTGTTGCAACCAAAAAAAAAAAAAAGACGACGACAAAATATAAAAAATATCAATAAAGTATCACTAGTTTAACTCATATAAACATGATATTAATATTTATAAATTTAATTAAGTGAGATGCTTATTTGTTATTTTAAATATTTGTTATGATTTTTCTTTGTTTATAATTTTTTAGAAATATGTTGAAAGAAAAAACATCAAACTCATTTTTTTTAGCATAGGTATAAGCTTATTGACTTTAAATTTCGTTCTCATATAAAAATGATATATATTTATTTGTTTTGTGAAAATATATGTTAGATATACATGTTCTTGCCACACCCCTCTTAGATTTTTAGAAAGTAACGTATGACCGTGTCCATCTATTGTCGTATTTGTGTCTCGTACTTCTTAGGACGGTACGTACGGATGAATTTGTTCATGCACGTCTAATTATGGTTGGGATATATGGCTATCTCCATATCTTTGGAGCTTAGTTTAAACCACATTAGGTCAAATTGCATGTCTATATAAGAGTTGAAAATTCGAACCTTCAACTTTTTAGACCAAAATATATATACCTTAACCATTCGAGTTATGTTCAGATTAGTCTATCCTATAATCGATCATAAATTTACCTAGCAATCAGTGTTGTCAGTGCACATGGCCAGGAAAGACTTGAAATACTTCACAAAATATTGTGGCAATTTGGACTACAAGATGTCCGAAGGGACCCCGATTGTGAGGAGGCACCCCTTCTTCTAAAGTTACGAGACTATTTTGCCGAGTTCCAACAAGAGGAGTGAGAGTGGGTTTATTTGTCTTAGAATGCTTTTAGTGGCAGTTATAAGTTCCTTTGAAGCGTAGATCATTTAGACTAATAATGTACATGAAATTTTCTACACAAGGCTAGATCATTTAGATGCTAAACAATTTACCATGAACAGAAGTAGCAAAAAGGATCTTCTTTCTAAATATTGTCAATGAAGTTGCTAGTAAATGTACCTGAATGTACAGAATCAACACTACCAGAAATCGTGACACGAACAAGTTCCATCTTTAAAATGGTGATACCTAATCCGATCCCGAACAACGATCTCCCTATCGTAGACCTTCGAAATGAGCTTTATTGCTTGATGACAATCCCCACATACTCTCAAGTTCTTCACAATGCGAATTGGAGTTTTAGGTGCTGTATTCATCAACCCAAAGGCAATGGCTAACTTCTCACTGTGCTTTAACAGAGCTGTTTCTCTGTCCTCGTTGTCATCGATATCGAGCAAAACTTCTCTCGTTTCAGGGAAATACCCCAAAATCTTTAACTTGGTGATCATCTCATCCAAGAACAAATAGAGCTGTTTTGTTTGAGGATGAGACCGATCACCAACGAGAAATTGATGGAAAGTCCCGTTCAACTCGATGGAGCTGCAACCCGGAGTTTTCTTTTTGCCACTTGCTGCAATCTTCTCCCTCAATGTCCTGGCTTCATTCCAATTTCTAGTCAAGGAATATATATTAGCTAATAGAACAGAGCAACCAAGATGGTCAGAATCCAACTCCCTAACAATTTTCCCAATTCTCTCTCCCATTTCAATATCCTTATGAATTTTACAAGCACTAAGCAGGGCACCCCAAATAGCAACATCTGGCGTCGAAGGCATTCTCGATATGATCTCTTCCGCTTCCTTCAAGTGCCCAGCTCGTCCCAGTAGATCCACCATACATCCATAATGCTCTAATTCGGGTTCGACTCCATAACGACCTGCCATTGATTCAAAATAGTCTCTTCCTTCCTCAACTCTATTTCCATGACTACAGGCATTTAACAATGCAACAAATGTAACTTTGTTAGGAGAAATATTTTCTACCTTCATTTGTTCAAAAACATCAATTGCTTCCTTAGATTTCCCATGCATTGCAAACCCACCAATCATGGCATTCCATGGCCAAACCTTTCGCTTCACTTGATGATCACTGTTGAAAAGTTTTGATGCAAACTCTAACTCTCCACATTTTGCATACATATCAATGAGTCCGGCCAGCAACCGCTCGTTCATCTGAATATCATTCTTTCGAATATAAACGTGCATCCATCTTCCTTGATCCAATGCCACTATATTAGCACAGGCTGCAAGAGTGCATGCTAATGTGTACTCGTTCGGGCTTGCGCCTCCTTGGAGCATCTTGTGGAAGACATCTAAAGCCTCCATGAAATAACCAACCTATGGAAGAAGATCATGTTTCAGGCTTTTTGAAGCATAATAATCCCTGCTAGAACTAATCCCAACTCACATTATACTGAGTAATTTCTTACCATTTGTTTTCCTCATGGATGCAGGGGCATATTTGAGGTAACGAGACAGAGAAAATACTGTCTCACAAAGAGAGTAAAATGGCTTCTCAAAATGGCATAGCGTTATACTGTAAGTAATCAAGAAATAATTACAATCCTGAAATATTAAACTAAAATAAAGTGAGGTTAAACTATAAGTTTGATACTAAACTTTCAAAGTTGTGTTAATTCAGTCACTATAGTTTAAAATTTTTTATCGGCCCTTAGACTTTGAAAGTTTTGTCTATCTTGTACTAAACATTAAAAAGGTTCTAGTAGGTCTCTGACTTTCAATATTATGTCTAATAAGTCCTGTCATCAATTCTATGCCCATGTAATCTTTAAATAATCCAATTAGGAGGTCATGTAATCATCCAAAGTAAGAGCTAATAAATACAAAATTAAAAATTCACAACCCTAATAATATTATTATTATTATTATTTTTTTAAAGTATAGAGACAAGATAGACTGAGCTATAAAAGCTCATATATCCAATAGAAACCTACATGAACCAAACAGATACAACCTGAAAGTTCAATTGTTCAAAGACTCGACTTGTAATTTAATAAACTTCAATTTTTATGTAATTACCTGCACACAACCAGCAATAAGTGTTGTCCACGACACCACATCCCTCTCGGGCATTTCATCAAACAGTTCCCGAGCACGATCCATTTCCCCCAACCTCGTATACCCACTAAGCATGGTATTCCACGAGTACATATCTCTGTTCGTACTCCAATCAAACACCCTTCTAGCATCCGCAACATAACCCAAATTCACATACATCCCAATCAACGCATTCCCCACAAACAAATTGCTCTCCAGCCCAAATTTGATGGCATGAACACGAAGTTGCTCCCCTTCCAAAACCCCGAGGCCATTGCCACACGCCTTGAAGGCGAAGGCAAAGGTGTACTGGTTAGGCAATAGCCTAAGGTCGCGGACCAGAGAACGAAACGTTGTGAATGAATCTGCTGCGG